AATAATAAAAACCAACTTCTATTCAAACGAACGAACGAACGAACAAACGGACGAACAAACAGAACAAACACAAGCAACACCAACAAAACAGCTCGAAACGCCATTGCAGTCATCCTCTGTGCGAGCACGGTCTACATCTGCAACAGCGTCTACCACACGAACCCGTTCACGACAACTTCAAACATAACTTCCGGACTACCGCCATTCAAATTTCCTAACTTCACCCTGCAACTCGATAGTAATGTAACTGTCTCCACTGTCGAAATACTTACTGTTGGTTCTTTTTCGTCCTATTTGTATTACTATACGTTATTGTTATTATTAATTTTATTATTTTATAATAATAATAATAATAATTTTTATTATTTTTATTGCTATTCAGAATATAGGATCTGGATTAGCAATCGTGCCCCTCCTCGCGTTGGTCGAATGTTTGGCTATTGGTAAAATTTTTGGTGGGTTTTTATTATTATTTTTATTTGATCTATTCATTCATTTGTTGGCTCATTCGTTCGTTCGTTCATCCGTTCGTTCATTCGTTTGCTTATTTGTTCATTATTTTGTTCGTTTAACGTTTCATCCATCCATCAATCTATCCATCCATCCATCCATCTAGCTAAGAAGAATGGTTACAAGACGAACCCAAGCCAAGAATTTTTTGCAATCGGTAATCCAGCATGCAATTTGTATGAGAACTTTTTACTTTTGATAAACTCGCTGGCTTGTAAAATTAAAATCATCCCTACTTTACTATCAATCCATGCTTTTAACACTCCCTCAAATAACTGCCAGAGAAATCAACACACACACGCACGCACGCACACACACACACACACGCACTAGCACACACACACACTAATACACACATACACACAGTGGATACAAACACACGTGAATCGACATTGCATGTGATAAACTGGGATATCTTAGCGTTCGAACAATGTCACTGCACATCTGCAACTGCAAAACCAGGCGTCTTAACTACAAGACCATCTTGCCACCCGTTGTAATTGTTGTTATTATTATTATTATTATTGTTATTATTATTATTGTTATTATTATTATTGTTGTTGTTATGGTTATTATTCTTTTTATTATTATTATTTAGGTGTTTGTAATTTTGCCAGCTGCTTTGTATCATCGTTCCCAGTTACGGGAAGTTTTTCAAGGTTGTTAATTGTTAAATTAGTTAGTTAATTTGTTAATTAGTCAATCGATCGATCGATCGATTAATTAAAAAGTAATTGATTAATCGATCAATTAATTTATTAATTAATCAATTAACAATTTTTTTAAATTATTTAATTGATATTCATCAGAACAGCCGTCAATTCTGCCAGTGGAGTTATGACAACTGCTGGTGGCCTAATTACAGGTTGGTTGGTTGGACGGTTGGATGGATGGTTGGTTGGTTGGTTGGTTGGCTGGATGGTTGGTTGGTTGGTTGGTCGGTTGGTTGGTTAAATGGTTGGTTGGTTGGACGGTTGGTTGGATGGTTGGTTGGTTGGTTGAATGGTTGGTTGGTTGGTTGAATGGTTGATTGGTTGGTTGGTTGGACGGTTGGTTGGATGGTTGGTTGGTTGGTTGGATGGTTGGCTATTTATTTTGTCAATTGGCCAGTTGGTTGGCTGGTTGATTGATTTTGCAAGCACTTCACAATATGCCCGTATCATGGGATTGATTTTGAAATTTTACAAAAGTTGCCATCAAACTAGATAGATAGATCAACGCGAAAGAAATAACAACCAAATACATGACACTTTTAACGTCTGAGCTAACACTCCAGCCAACCATTTATATCAAACTACTATTAAACTTACTTTAATTATTTCAATTGGCTATAATTGGTTAGTTAATTATAAACAATCAATTAACATAAATTAATAAATTATTAACAATCTAATTATTATTATTATTATAATCTAATTATTAACAACTAACACGAATTAGTTAATTATAAACAATCAATTAACATAAATTAGTAAATTATAAACAATCAATTAAAATGAATTAGTAAATTATTAACACTCAATTAACATAAATTAGTTAATTATTAACAATCAATATAAATTAGTAAATCATAAACGATCAATTAAAATAAATTAGTTAATTATAAACAATCAATTAACATAAATTAACATAAAGGTACACTAGTGATTCTCAGTCTATTATTTTTGACGCCGTACTTCCATTACATTCCGGAGTCAACTCTCGCAGTTATCATCTTCTGTGCCGTCCTGGATATGATCAGCTTCAAACTGCCTGTAAAACTTTGGAAAGTTAATAGTACGTTTGTTTGTGTGTGTGTATGTTTGTTTGTTTGTGTGTGTGTGTGTGTGCGCGTACGTACGTTTGTGTGTTTGTTTGTGTGTGTATGTGTTTGTTTGTCTGTGTGTGTGTGTGTGTGTGTGTGTGCGTCTGTGTTCTTTCTAGATATGATGATCAGTTTCAAACTGACTGCTATTGAACTGAAAGTTTATAGTATGTGTGTTATGTGGGTGTGCTCGTGTGCGCGCTCATGTGCATGCATGTATGTATGTGTGCGTGTATGGGCATGTGTGCGTGTGTATGCCAAATGAATTTTTTTTCTATAAATTCTTTTATGGTCATCCTGCTTTCTTATAATTTTGATTTTGGATCTTGAAAAGCAAATAAATTTTCGTTTCGTTTCGTTTCGTGTGCGTGTGTGTGTGTGTGTGGTGTGTGTGTGTGTGTGTGTGTGTAATAACAACGACAACAACAACAATAATAATAATAACAACAACAACAACAATACAGAACTCGATTTCGCAGCCTGGATCATCACCTTCACACTGTCACTTCTTATCGGAGTTGACGTCATTATTAGTTTCATTTTTTTCTCATTACTATTGTTATTACAATCATTTTTTCATCATCCCCGTCATCATTATCGTGATTATCATTCTTATCATTATCATCATCATCATCTTCTTCATCATCGTCATCATCTTCGTCATCATCATCATCATCTTCGTCATCATCATCATCATCATCTTCGTCATCATCATCATCATCATCTTCGTCATCATCATCATCATCATCTTCGTCATCATCATCATCATTATCGTCGTCGTCTTAATCTTCGTCATCATCATCATCATCTTCGTCATCATCATCATCATCATCTTCGTCATCATCATCATCATTATCGTCGTCGTCTTAATCTTCGTCATCATCATCATCATCTTCTTCATCATCGTCATCATCATCGTCATCATCGTCATAGTGGGGGATATTATGCGGCATTGCCTTTTCTTTGGTCACGCTAATCTGTCTATGGAGTAGGCCAAAACTTAAGGTTCTTTGTTCTTATCTATGGTGATGTAATAATAACGACAAAAATAATAATAATAATAACAATAATATTTATTATTGTTGTTATTATTGTTAAATAGGATGTCACATCAGAATCATTGCAGCTGTTGGACACTAGAATTCTCTATAGCGTTCGTCGTGAATTTATTTTAAAGATTTCATTAAGAAAGAAATTAAAATATGCTTCATTCATTTATTCGTTCATTCATTCATTCAATCAATTATTCAATCATTCAATCATTTATTCAAATTTATTCATTTGTTCATTTTCCCATTCGTTTATTCATTCATCTGCTCATTTATACAATTATTGGTTGATTCATTTCATGCGCTCATCCATCCATTCATTCATGCATGCATTGGTTAACTCAATTACTCATTCATCCATTCATAGATTCATTTATTCACTCACCCATCCATCCATCCATCTATTCGTTCAGTCATTCACACCGGAAACATATGTAATCTTGATTGATCACGGCCTAACCTTCCCAAGCGTTGAGATGTTAATTGAGAGAACCAACGAAATCGTTCAACAAGACGGTACGTAGGGTGCGCGCGTGAGTGTATAATGTGTGAGTGCGTGTGTGATGTATGTGTGTGTATTTGTGTGTGTATGTTTGTTTTTATTTTTGCCAGACCATAGACCAAGAGCTATTATATTTGACTGCAGTCATGTTAAAGTCATCGACTATTCGGTCATTCAAGTACGTGATGATGATGATGATGACCATGATATGATGGTGATGACGATTGTCGTGACCTTTAACCTTTCCAGGGCATGAAAGAAATGATTGAAGACTTTGACAAGAGAGATTCTATAATCATTTGGATGAGATTCACAGTATGCGTTCAATATTTATTGTTACAATTATCATATTATTAATTAATTAATATTATTTATGATTATTAGTTAGTTACATATTTAATTAATTTAAATTATGTTAATTTATGCAAAGCCTCAGTTAATAGAGAAAATAAGGATCTTTAACATTGAAAACTTGTACGTTTCGAATTCTATTGAAGAATCTATAGGAGTTATACAAGGTATATTTTTAATAATAAAAACCTTTTTTTCGAATACAAAACTTTCATTTTTTGTACAACTTTTTTCGACAGGTTATTATGATAGTAACCTGGATGACGATACATCAGTTCATAGAAGACTGAATTCTATTTATTGATTTTTTTTTAATTTTTGTTATTTGTATTAAATTTTTTCATAATATATCTATTTTCATGTCAGTTCTTTGCCTTTTTTTGAAAACTTTTATTTAATTTTGTCAAGATTTTAACATTATTAATCAGTTTAATACGACTGTCGCTATGATCAGTGTTACTTATCTTTGAATGACGTCATTTTCAGCAATGATTTCTTAGCGGATAACATCCTATTTTAATAATAATAATTTTTTGGTCAGTGCTTAGAGAAAATAGAACTATAGAACTATTTTATAACAAATTAAAACACGTAAGTCATATAGAATTGGTTTAAAATTAAATAAATCGAATTGAAGTAACTATAAATGGTTTGTAGGGCTGTTATAATATTGAATCAAAGTTGTTGTTAAAATTTGTTAAGCAGTTTTAACGTTTTTTTAAATTTTAAAAAAGCGTTAAAACCGCTTGTTCATAGCGTTAATTTTTATTTTTTCCTTCACTGGATGGTTTATATTTATAAAATTCTTACAAATATCGATTTTGTAAATTTGTTTGATTGTTTAATTGATTGTTTTTCTAGATATTTATGACTTTGATTTATTTATGTTTTTACTGTAAGATATTTTGGAATATTCACTCCATATAATGTGTCTTATTCTAACTGTATGGTTTTATTCAAGGGGAGGCCTATTTACCAGCATACACATCTTCTTATGGGTTGAAGCAGGGATATGCAAAAAACCTCAATTTTTTCAACTTTTACACTATTCGATCATGTTAAAAATTTGTTTGCTTATGAAATAAACGGTCTAAATAAATCAAAATTGTTATTTGAACAACTATCTTCATTATATTTAATGAATATTTTACATTCTGCTGGTGCTCATAAGAAACTGGCTGCTGAAATCATACGTTGGCTTACGGCAGTGGCTTACAGGGTTTCATAGAACTCTTACGATAGCACTTTTTTGTACATATAATACTTTAAATAAATCAATATATTCATATCACAATTATTTTTGTCAGTATAAATATAGAAATTGCTTTTGTCAGGTGAAAAACAGTGGCTTACTGAAGCCGTAGGTTGGCTTAATCGAATTTTTTCTCATGTATACAATACTATGAGATAAATCAATCAAACAATCAGTCAGTCGGTCGGTCGGTCAGTCAGCCAGCCAGCCAGTCAGTCAGCCAGTCTGTCACTCTGTCAGTCAATCAATCAACCAACCGATCAATCAACCGATCAATCAATCAACTAAATTGAATGAACCAAATAAACAAAAATAAATAAAAAAAATTTGCAAGGCCTGTTCAAACTCGAACAAACAGTTAACCGTACAGATCTACAAACAATTTCGAGATTTTAGTAAAGAAAGAAAAACACAGTAGGGTCATTCTCTGTCAACTTGAACCATGGTCCACGCCCGACCATCTCCGATTTTTTTAAAATTTGAACAGTAAGTACCTCAATGTATTTCATCGACAAAATAAAATTTTTATAAAAAAATTTCAATTATTTTTCAAGTTATGAAAATTTTTGTGACAGCATCCTCATTTTTGAGCGATTTTTTTCAAAACTTGTACCTACGTAGAACGCTATATCTCTTGAACTAGCCAACATATCTTGATGAAATTTTTTGTGCATATCAGTGAAACAATGTAATAACAAAAAAATAAATGTTATTGTCTCGAATCAAAGGATATTTTGAACAAAAAATCTAGAAAAAAATGAATTTTTTGAAAATTTCACCGATTTCAAAACAGCGTAGCTCAAAATCTATCGCAAAATAAATAAATATTTTTTGTTATTTTAGAAGTACCTTATAGTCACAAACAAATCACAAAATTTCGTTAAAATCTGTATTGAACTTTTTGAGCTATCGGAGCTCAAAATGTCAAAAAAAATGAAAAACTTCTTTTGTTTGGCGCCATTTTTAACTATGAAGAACCAAACGTTTTTTAATTTTTAAAATTTGTTTATATAGTGCTTTTATAGCTTAATAACACATCAAAAAATAAAATTGGCGTTTGCTTTCTTTGAAAAATAAAACAACTTCAAAAACAGGCAAAACAAATTTTTTTCAAGTGTCAATATTTTTTATTTTTTTCAATTTAAAATTTAAAATTTAGAATGTATGTTACACAGATGTGAGGAATGCCCAGGAAAACTGAGTGTCGAAAATAACATAAGAGCGATTTTCGAAGAAGCTGTAATTTCCCATGATGATAATCGCAGTTCATTGATTTCCGTACAGGATACAGTTGACAGTTTCATTGAAAGATTTTCGCAAAAACTTGACGAGTTGTCATCGCATCATTACATAAGCAAAGAACAATTGAAATATCTTAGCGATTCTAAAGAAAATTTAAAAAATTCGGAGTGTATTGCTTTAATGGATTTTGCTGAAAATTATTCGGTGATAATACAGGATGCAATCCAGAGTCAACATTGGAGCAACACGCAAGTTACTAGCCAATTGTTCTTTATTACAGAAAACTTATTTATTTATTTATGAAAACTTATCTGTCAAAAGCGTTTGCATGATTAGCGACTGTCTCGATCACAATGTTTCCGCTGTTTATGCTTTTCAAAAACATTTAATTAACTATGTAAAACAAAACCTGAAAAACGTTACTTTAATTAAATATTTTTCTGATGGTGCGGTAAGTCAATACAAAAATTTTTCTAATTTAATTCATCACAAAGAGGATTTTGGATTAAAAGCAGAATGGCACATTTTTGCAACTTTTCATGGTAAAAGTCCTTGCGATGGAATTGGAGGGACAACAAAAAGATCAGATATTGAACGCCAGAGATTTTTACACATACGCTGATGCGAAAATAAATGGTATTAAATTTTTTTGGGTAGACAAAAAAGAAATTAAAGATCTGCTAGGAATGCTTGAAAAAGATTTAGGTCAGCAGATAAAATAAAGGGTTGTCGAAGTCATCACTCATTTATTCCAGACAAAAATGATCAACTTTTGATGAAACGTTTGTTCTTCAGATTTATTGGATACA